TCCAATTGAAATGGCAACCACAAAATTAATTAGCAGTAAGCTTGCCTATTGCAGCGGACATAACAATTATATTTTCCTATCCCCTCATAAAATAATTCCAATAAGTCACTAAATAACTATACACAATATCCAATTGTGTCCTAGTTTTTAAGTGAATTCGTGCAAATACGTACTCTTATCATGAACTTCAATTTAATAGAATTGTATTTTGGTATGCTATTCATGTCTTCACAGTTGATTTCAATCAAGAAATGTATTACGAAAATAAATATTTTCTTCGGATGAATATTTATGGGTAAATAAGAGTCCCAAAAATATGGAATCTCAGCCTAACATTGGAATTGGAATGTTTGGTATTCAATGAAAGCGAAGCTATCCGAATGGAAACTCAAAGCCTGATACAGTTAACGCAATTATTCTGTAATTAATTGCTTTAAGTCTATGAAATAGCGACTTTATCCTCTGAAGGTCGTACAATATGCGATATTATTACCAGACCTCTTTAATTTGTATGACTAGAATTTAGCAGCAACAGACTTTTTAGGTCGTGATTCAAATAAAGTACCCGTGCTTGCCCTAAATACGTGCCTATGCGTACATCTTGGATAAGCGTTAAATTGAAATTTTACATCATTTATTTCGTTTACCTATAAAGGTATTTCGAATAAATAGAAAAAGAATATGTTATTTTCGCGCAAGACTTTAACCTAATACTTCAATCAAGCTTATAGGAGCTACACGCATGTTTATAACAAAACATTGCGTACGCTTATAGGATTCTGCGAAGAAACCTTTTTACAAAAATCTTTAAGTACATTTATAAAAAAAAGTTAACAGCACAAAGAACTGAGAGTTGTGAAAAACGAAGATCCTTCAAGACACCTAAGGTCAAAAGCAAGAAGCTCTAAGACGGGTAAAGTACCCAGCTAAGTAAAGGAATGCTGGCTACAAAGACAATGCTACAAAGCCATCCAAGTTTGGTACTTTTAAATATTTAAATACTTGGAGAAAATAATAGAAGCATAGAACTTACTTTCTTACAAAGTAAGTTCAGAATCAGCTTTGTTCCAGAGCCGCTGAATAAGTATTGTAGAGTGTAAAAATGAATAAAAATATCGAACAAAAGTAAAACTAAACTAACTACTAAACACTGAACATGCACTGCCCTCTGTGTAATCACTAAATGGAGTCGATGACCGATACATGCGGAAACTATATATTCGTTGGAAATAAAATACTATTTTCCATTTTTATAAATATTCCTTTTGTAATACTGCATCTAATTTGCATTTTAAAGTTCTCCTAATCCGTTAGAAGTACTTATTAGTCTACTTATTAGCTTTACTATAAGGATAAGCAGGACACAGTGAATGATTTCACTATAGGATAATCAGTCACTGTGCATTCATAAGGCCCAGTCGTATGGCAAATTTTAGCATATGCTGATTACAAAACAGGTTCAAGGTCTTTCGTTCATAAATTTTATCCTCGTTCCAGTCCATATTTTAGTCACAGATATCATGACACCACCAAAAACAATAGAATTCTTATTTGTAGACGATTATTGTGGAGACCCGAGTGAAGACATACGTGACCAGAATGAACCGACAATTTACGACGACTGTCGGGACAACTTTTGAATTTCAGAGAATTTGCCAAATCAATACTGCGCTCCATAAATTAAATTTTCAGATGGACTACATTCTTTCTGTTTACGTTACTCTAATTGTGAACGATCAAAAAATAGCGATGTTACCAGATGCTGGTAAAAAAACTGAGACACATGTTTGAAATAACAAAGAACCATGTTTACGTGAAACGAATATTTTGCTTAGAAGATCGCACTTTGAAAATTGTTCGTGATAGTGAAACGGGCAATCAAAAAAATATCGTAGTAGAGTTAGTAGAATAGAGACGGGTCGATATTGAATACTGACGAAGCAAGTACTCGCAAATATATCGTCTAGGTTACCTAACTATTCAAAACATGAAAGTTACCTCTCCCATGCCCATAATTCCAAAGAAAACCTTGAAAGGCCTGGAGACACCTAAACCATTTAGCAGAAGCTGACAAAGATAAATCTGAAAAATAACTCGGTAACTATAATCCTCCATTAAAGTTTGACGAATTTGCAATAAATATTTAGGTACCTCGTGTCATGCTTTATACAGACACTAATACCGCACATAACCAAATAAACACAAGTGTGCGAATATGTCATACTAATGGACATACAATATTGAAATTGTACGTACATATTATCATGTAAATTCATTCGTAATGTAAACGTACTAATCTTATCAAATAATATTCGTACCTAATGAGTCATTTAGTGAGGTGTAAACTACAGAGCTGTTGTTATGTCGTGATATGCAGGCAAAGAGGCTAAGCGCAAGGTCGACCAACAAACTGAAAGATTAGTAGGTAGTTACTCACTATTTGAAATCCTTATCTCGTCTGATTTAACTTTATAACCGGCCTAGCGATATACGCTGTTTTAAGCGCATATTTTTTCGTGTATTGAATTGACATTCAGATCCCTAGCAACGCGTGCCCATGATGTTTTACTTTGAAAGCACATTTTGCTAGTCATAGCAAAAAATGGCTAGGCTGGCTTTTAATTAGATTTTAATAGCGTCACCGACTTATTGTCCTGGTAAACAATTTACGATATTATATTATCAACTATACAGATAAAGCTATATACATGTTAGTTCGAGACGATTTAAAAACGTTTAATCCGTATGTAGTGGAAGCACTGCAGCTTTAAGACGTTAAACGCCATGGCAGTCACTGGTGACCGACATTAGCGGAGGATTTGCCTTCAACAGTTTTTTATTGGCAGCCAATGCCTTAATGTGATATTTTTCTCGTATATTTTTCTGTTACAGCGCTAAATGACTATCGCAGTGGGGTGCGAATTACTTTTCGCTGTCAAACAATGAACGCGTAGTCTACAGTAAGAAACGACCTTCCCTAATTTTCTTTTTCTTTATATGTCCTGGTTTTCGCTCTGCTCCAGACTTGATTACGGAAAACTAAAACGAATACCGCATTTTTACTAGTAAACTAAATTTTCTGACTTTTTGTTCCAGATTTTATAATTCCATAATGCTGCTTGAGAGGTCTAATAGGCACTCTGAAGAATAGACAATCACTTTTATGCTAAACCAAAACATCACCATTCCAAAGGGACTCGGTGATGCCATTTAGGAAATATTTCAGTTTAAACATTATTATTTGATAATTTGTTTATTTATTTTTTGGTCCAACAATAAGAATTTACGACGTAATCGGAAAATATAATTTGTAATGCTTATTGGAATCTAATTCAAGAAATAATGTTTATTCCTGATCCAATTCAGACATGAAATTGGATCATTGGATTGGTGAGTACCTACTGTGGTAATCTATACATGTGAAATATTTTACATTTAAATAAAAACCTGTTTCAAATGTTTCCTCATAATTATGATGATACCTACCTATGAACTTATTTAAATAAGTAAGTAATTTTCCTACCAAATCATATAAGAATTTTCCTGTTGATTGTAAAAAGGTACTTTCATAGAAACGTAATTTATTCCTGGTCAAAGAAGTCTGTTATTAAAAGTGTGTACCATGTACACAGTATCTTTACTTATTCCGGCTAAACATACATACAAGACTACCACCAGGCAATAAGGTAGCCAAACGTCAACCTATGAAGGATATAAAAAAATCATACATAACCTGATGTCTGTCTGTCTGTCCCAAAGCGGTAGGTAGAGACTATGATATACGAATAGCCAAGATTCTTACATACATCTTTCGCTTCATCAACATTCATCAATCTATTTGTGCATGCTTATCGGTTAAGGGGATGGGCTAAATTAAAAAATATATATTCACCATGTTTTGATTTAATTAATACTAAATTAGTAAGTCAATTGAAACACAGAGAGATAGTAACAAAATTATAAAGGTTAAACATGACTTGAAAAAAGCAAATGAGAACATCACTAGAACTATTTTATATTTTTCATAAAAGCTTTTAAAGTGCATTATCAATTGATATGAGAGTTTGATAAACTGATAGAATGCATAATATGAATACTGATATTGTTCTTGTAACACTAGCATTACATCATCACTTGTTTATGAGAAACATTGAATTATCAGCCTTATTTGTCCTTCCAAATTAATGTGTTGACTCAACAAACATTACCTACATTTAAACTATAGGAATAGAACACACAATACTGGTGACTATTAAAAGAATAGATAAATAGCTATATTTTTTTAAAGAATGTCTCTCATGTCTCCAATTTGAGGTTGTGGCTATATACTTATAATGCCAGTGTATTATGTGCCATGTCTAATTTGCAAAATCAATTTACCTGCTATATTTTCATATCAGTGGCAAAATTATTCTATTGTAGAAGGAAAATAATAAATCTAATTGTAATTTTATAGGATTGTCTACATTCCAATACAATACTATTAGAAATACCTACTTAGGGAGTTAGATAATACTGTTTTTTAGGCTTACCATAAAACTTTTTTGTTTAGGTTGGTGATTATAGTTAAAAATAACTATAATCTCATATCAATATCAAATGAACTGTTGTAAGAAATATGAACAATAGTTAAGTAACTCTTATTTATCTTTTAGGACAACCTGTTTAACTACAAACATAAACCTCATAGTTATGCCTATTTATGTAAACTAAGCTAACCAAATTTACATAAAAGCAAAAACTTATCTTACTTAGAAATTATTAAAGACCAAAATACTATGAAAATCACATTATTTACTTGTACGTCAAACAAGAGTATGGTTATAGAAAAGTGCACTTGCTGTCAATAAAAGTTTACTTTTACTGAAACAAAACAAACTTCGCCTACCCATGAATTACATAAAAGTTATCAGAACTTGTGGTATGTAACGCTTTATTTAACGTTATAAAAGTTACAAGCTTCAATGATTTTATCGTAATCTAAAATAATCTATACTTACACAACCATGCCATAGGCGCCTTCGCCGATGTATTGCAGATTCGTATATCTGGGCCCTACTTCGAACACCTGGCCCCGAATGATCTCCGCGTTGGGATTACTGCTCGCGGCACCTGCAGCCTCAGCCATCGCGACACACAGAGGGAAGCCACTTAACCAACGGTAACAATACTGAGTTCAGCATAAATTTTTACACACGAGCGACACCAGACTGCCGATTGTTCAGTCCACAATTCCACATTTAATATCCAAAACAAATTGCTACTCGACCTACATTATCCACTACTCGAACAAATCGTCCACTTGTCAATTGCTTATCATTCTCGCTAGCCTGTTTGTCCGACTTTTCATGGACACTCCCGTATAGACGCAGTACCGTTACAAAATGAACTCAATTTTTTCTCCATCTCTACAAGCGTGTTCCATGTTGTGATATTTAACATCTATTCTATTTATTGATGTTGTTTCTTTCTACCACAGTGTGTTAAAACGAGATAGAGATATCCAGTTTTTATTGAAGAGTTTTATTTAATTCTCCGTGTTGCTCCGTTTTATTTATTTTAAAGACATTACTAAAAATATGCATTAAGTGAATATATGTACGACGATTGTAAAAAGATATTTATTAGTGGAAATTTTAAACCGAATGGTTTCTCAAAAGCCTGTTAGCGAAACATATACTACGAGAATGTCATTCCTTCTAATTGTCATTCCTCCTACGAGAATGTATACCGGTGACAATGACAGCTGGCTGCTCATGACATTGACATAAAATCTGTCTTATTTGACAACTAATGACGTTTACGGTTTTATACGGATGGAGTAGTAAAATAGTATTTTTTGTAAAACTAAAATAAATATTGAAGGCATAAGTAATTTTAAGCTAAACTTTGAGTATTTAAAGTACTAGAAGATGTAATATTTCTATAACCGATCTGTCATTTAAATAGAGTAAAGGCTTGAAGGCCTTGATTGACCTCGTCGACTGATTCGAAGGACTATCGTGCAAATAATTTAGGTATGTCGGTTTGGTCAGCCAGTACTGCTGGAAATAATTACCACTCCGCTTTACCAGGTGGTCAATTCGGTCCCTCTAACAACTGGTGTCCAAAATTGAGCAAGGTATGATATAACTTTCGTTGCATGTTAATAACATTGTTTTTACTAAACTTAGCTTGATTCTGAATGACAACTGTAATTACTGTTTACTAGTAGCTAGTTGTATATCAGTCGTGAAGGAGTGCGGCGCACTTCAGACGCGCGCTCAGTAATAATGCTTGACCAACTCTCATTTAATTATCTTCTAAAGTACTGACTATTATCATTATTTGTGCTGTGGAATTGAGTGGACTGTGATGTAGGAATCCAATTTGTTTCTTGACTTTGAACTTCATTTAATGGTATGACATTATTTTGCATTACCCGTATTAAGTGTCATAGATGTTATTGCTTGAAACATCAGCTTATTATTAATTTGTTTTATCTATTCTACATCTTTGTTATTGATATTTTTTTGCACCTAAATTTAACTGTGTCACAGATTATGATGTACTTACACATGTCTTGATAATTATTATGTAGTATATTTATACAAATTCCTATTAATATTTATTTACTATGTATAAAGTTATTTTAAAATGCATGCAGTAATTAAGTTGTGTGTTAAAAGTTACTTTATTGATGATTTTTTATTTTGTCCTATAAAGGAGTGGATGACAGGTATTTAGCGAGCATTTTGATCAGTTTTGTGGCACGCAGACACTGAAGATTGTACTACTTATCATTTTCTAACAAGAGTGAGTTTACAATAGTTGTTATTGGGAGAAGGGTTTCAGTTTAAGTCATCTAACTCCATGTTTTTATCGAATCCATACATCACATAATTCATTACTGAAGCTGTAGCCTTTGTTTCGTAGTCCTAGACCGTGTAAACACTGAAAGTTGTCCAGATAATATGGCATAATGATGTCAAGGGCGTAGAACTGTTGGACCATGGTACCGTGGTACTTTTTATCGCAATGCGTTATCATTACATAAACATTATTCAGTTTGTGGTCATTTGATAAAATTATATGTGAAATATGTATTTAAATATGACCTAGAGATGTGTCTCTGTGTTTAAAATTATTTGATAAGGTAATACTTTTCTAAATATGTAGTTCTGTTCCGTGAACTTAAACTTATTCATCATATTCATACAGAAAGTGACTTTGGTTTTTTTTATTCTTTCAAGAAGTGATTGTTTATTTATCTGTGCCTGCATAATAGGTGTTCTTATTTCTTTTCTATATGGATATAAAACCTAATTTATTTAACCATATCAAAATCATACAGGAGTTTGTTATTAAATGACAAATAGCAATTTTCCTTTGAATATTTTATATACATTAACTATTGTATTGATGTTTTGTTTCATTCTGTATTAGTCATGTTATAATCAACTGAGTTCAAACATGAATTTAACACGTTAACTCCCCCGTTGGTCACCGGTGACCTGCGTTAGTGGAGGATTTGCCTTCAATATTTTTCTGACAGCAGTCAAAGGCTTAGGTACTGTTGTGTTTAAAACTTACACCCTAATATTGGATACTCGATTTTAAGTTGTACTTAAATATTATGCTTTTTCTATCATTTTACGACAAATTTATATATATGTACTATATATATATATAATATACATATATATAGTATACCTATATATATATTACTAGCGACCCGCCCCGGCTTCGCACGGGTGCAATATGTACACACAAACCCTCCTTAAGAATCACTCTATCTATTAAAAAAAACCGCATCGAAATCCGTTGCGTAGTTTTAAAGATCTAAGCATACATACGGACATACAGCGAAAGCGACTTTGTTTTATACTATGTATTGATTGATGTATAAGTACTTAAGTGTGACTTAATATTTGGGTGTAGCATAGCGTTTGAGTATTTCGACATTAGAGATTTAAATTATTATAAATAGCGCATGTGATTATTGACTATCCTTACAGAGTTCCAGTTATGAAATTATGTGATGTTTGGATGACATTGTAGTGGCTACTATTTAGATTTGGTGAAACTGCTTTCTGTACTATAAATAAACTGCAAATTTGTATACCACTGTTCTTTTAAAAAATATTCAAAAGACATTCTCTTTATCAAATCATTATAAATGTTACGGAGGACACATGAAATCTTATGCTAATAGTTCTTAGATTTTTATTTGCATTCAGTTTAGTGTTGTATCTTTGTTTGTATTCGAACAATACGCATTTACCATCTGCATTAGCCAGAATAAATACTCTGTGCTGAAATAGCTTTCTTTAAGAGGCTTTTCTATAATCATGGGGATTTGGAGGCTTGGCAAACGATTTGGAGTTAGCAATTAGACCACCGCTGATCACAGTTTTAAAACATTATTTAAAAAGTTCTAAATCTAAAACTATTAAATTTATCTTTTACCACATTCAACACAAATTAATGTGATTGGCCAAAGTATCTATTAGCATATTACCTATTGAATCTCAAAGTATCTATTAATATCAGTATTAGTCTAATATTTTCGATAGTTGGGCTATTCTCCAATATTTTTTATTCAATCTGAGAGACAGATTATCTCTATTATTTTTTCGCTACGAATCTTTGTTGACCCTTTTAGATATCCTAGTGATAAGGTCTAATGTGCCCTCTATAAACCTGATAACTATAAACTAGCATAGTATTAGTAATTACTTTGGATTTGCTTGTCACTAGGAGAGTTAATAGACGCTTTGATAAATGGCGCAGTTTGATGGATTCATTGGTTGCATCCTTATCTTGAATTTTGTGGTAGTTAATTGGTGTTCACTGTGCTCACAGTTTGATGGTCAAACGTGGTCGATTATTTTAAGCAGTGTATGGTAGGAAGGGGTCTTGTAACAGGGTAAAACAGCATGCAGGGATTATGCATCTTTCTGCATCTCAGAACAACTATGGTTTTTTAAGGGGCCAACATCTTAATTAGATATTAAATTATTTTATAAAATTGTTGTTTTCGATAGAAATCAGTGAGTCAAAAATAAGATACTTTTACTGTCGAATCTAATGCTGATATTGCAACACTGCGATCGGCTTGGCTTTGTAGCGCAATTAAGACAGAAATTATCTCTAGAATGATAAGAGATCTTCTACCCTTTGCTTCCTTAATTATAGTTAATTGATGGGTATTTGCTGCTACGGAAAACCGTAACGGAAACGTGGTGGTGGTCCCATAGGGTTTCATTTAATTTAATCAATTACCAGCCGAGTGGTCTCAGGTCAGTCTCTAATTACCTACTTCTTAAATTACTTAATTGTTGTTTTATGTTGTTTCTTTGTGAATAATCTTTTTTGTAGCCATATTATATTGATTTTATAAATGTTGTGTAAGTGTCCCTAATATTCCTATTTTGATGTGCAATGTGTTTTTGTTTCTGTGTAATAATCTTCATATACTTGTTGCAATGATAATACTGCCCACGGACTTAATAGCAGTCATCAGCTTAAAATGATAAAAGTTGGAAGTAGCCATTTTAAATGCTAATACAATATTGCAGATAGTTGTTGAAACATGTGAGTAACATTTCATGTACCCACGATACCACCGTAACTCAAACATGATTTTCCCATTAAAATGCCATTGTGCAGTTCATAACTTGGTTTTACAATAAAACTGGGTGATGGTACATTTGTTTGGGAATCACGGTGTGTTAATGTGTTCTGGTATTGGCAGCAGCATAAGTGCGTGATGTCGGGTGAGACTCCGATCCAGTCGGCGGACGGGCTCCACACGCCAGCCTACTTGTCATGGAGGAAGCTGCAGCTCAGCAGGGCAAAGCTCAAAGCCTCCAGCAAGACATCAGCTCTACTCTCCGGATTCGCTATGGTATGTCTTTTACATTTACTTAAACGAATATAAAAACGGATTTATTGCAGTTTCAAAATTTTATTGCAATGTAAAAGACTTATGTTTCAATCCTTTGTAATGTGGTAAAGGGCGATTATATAATATATATTACAGCAATACCTTATCTATATTATCCTATCTTAACAAAAATCAATACTAGATAGCAAATAATTTCCGTAACATTATTAGAAGATAACGATAGCATAATTTGTCAACAGGTAGCGATGGTTGAGGTCCAACTTAATCCTCCTGACAACACGAAAGTGCCTAACGAAATGCTAGTAGCCTTCACAGTATGTACGACACTACTAGTTGCAGTGCACATGCTGGCTCTTATGATAAGTACATGTATCCTGCCGAACATCGAAGCCGTTGGTAATCTCCACAGCATATCCCTCGTCCACGAATCGCCACACGAACGACTCCACTGGTACATAGAGATAGCGTGGGCCTTCTCCACGCTACTTGGACTCATACTGTTCCTCATAGAGATAGCCATACTCTGCTGGGTCAAGTTCTACGACCTGAGTCCGACGGCAGCATGGTCTGCTTGCGTCGTCCTCATTCCAGTCATGATTGTGTTCCTAGCGTTCGCTATACACTTCTACATGTCGTTAGCCAGGCACAAATACGAAGTGACAGCCACAGGTATTAAAGAACTTGAATTGCTCAAAGAACAGATCGAAATGGGTGACCATGATGCTCGTATGAATAATTTGACGTTGCTTGACCAAAGCCGCATCGTTTGATTGTCGACGTGAGTGTCCTATGTCCTATTTGGAATGTTATATTACCTTTTGTTTGTGAGTGTACACCATTGATTATTAGGTAAGTTATTATGTACTTAGATTGTTAAGATTGTACTTATTGAGTGCCAACGTACAGGTTACACGGTACGAACAGTTTATGGGCGCATTAATTGCTCAAATGTTACTACAGGGCTTATAGGGACTTGGTTACTGCCGCAAGAAAATTGAATCGGTAATGCCGACCGACTTTTTGGTACAATGTAAAGTAATGGCTCGTGTGTTTTAGCCCTGTAGTGTTGTTTTTGAAGATTGTGTTGCGATGACAGTGTGCCTTGTGGGAAGATGGACCTTCTTAATGTCTTCCTAAACCAGTTAATTTTATAGGAATGTTATTATTAGTAGGTGCCTACGATTCATAAAATCCCAATGCAGTTACAACTCGCGCCCTGATACATGTTTTGTAAACGGCCTTGTGAATGTCGATGACATCTCACATTTCCGCGAAACATCACTATAGGCACAAGGCTCAACCGCGAATCTTTATTGCGTCACAATGTAAAAAACAATGTCAAAAAACGGTCACACGTATGAATTTAGGCAGCAGATGAAGAAATGTATGAATTTGAGTTGAATTTAAATGTTTTAAATTATATTATTTTTTGTTTTAAAATCTCATTTTGTATACAGGTAGTAGAAACAGACAAAGTAAACTAGATATAGATTATAACAATAATAACGAATCTCTGTGAATAGGTACATGTAATGTTAAAATATCAACGACGCCATAAGTCTCGATTTGAATGAACGCCAATCCATTAGAATTACTAGAAGTAATTAATACTGTTCCAGTTGCATTGATCAAATCCAATCCTTATAGATGATATGACGTACAAACTGTAATAAGCCTATATTATAGTCTTTATATTAGGATCTTATTAAAAAAATACGAATTTGTCGACAAGAATCACCCTGCTGCTGTTTTTAGATGGTTGGCCTACCTTAATTTTCCCAAGGACGTTGAAAAAAAAATGACATAATGTAACTTAGAAGTGATTGAAGCACCAAAATATATTATAACCAACTGCCACAGTCGTTGTTTCAAACAGTCTCCATCTTTTTCTCAACGTCCTTGAATTTTCCATTCAGTGGTCTCTAATAAACAATTATTATTATTATTTTATCATTCTAATAATTTGGATTAGGTATCCAATATCTATAATCCACATCTTTTTACATTTTTTTTGTTCAATTATGTTCTGAATTTGGCTCATCCATAAATTAGTAAGACCTTCTTTGATATTTTTATGTCCTATGTATTAAATTTTAGTGCAATATTTTAAAATGCAATTTTTATTCACTGAATACAATTTTAATAAAAAAATTAATGTGGCAATATTTTTTGTAGTACTTAGAATACATTGGTAAGACATTTATGTAAGGTGCCTATGTTACATGTCATTTTCTGTTTAAGTTTTCATATCACAATTCTTTCACTTACAATAATTATGTAAAATATGTAGGTCAATAATTCATTTATCATGATCTTTAAAACACAATATATGTTCATATACCAGCGCATGTGCCGTTATTATAATTAAGATTTTTTGGGCAATAGTTCTAGGTGCATAAATTCTTATAAAATGGCGCCCCTTTGGTTTGGCGCCATTTTTGACAAAAACGAAAGTCAAGAGATGGTGAAAAATATGTATCCTTTATTCAACGAAATAAATATCTATAAAATAAAATTACACAAATGAATTACATACATTACATTAGCCAAAAATCTAGTAAAACAATAAAAAATTAGGTACTTACCTAAATACCTATTAATCTAGGTACCTATTGAGATGCTAACCGATTCAATGCTACATTTGACTTGACATTTTTCTGCGTAGAAACTGCCTACAGTACAGACACCAGCAAGCTAATATACTCCTTTCTTTCAAATTAGATTTTCAACTATATTGTTCTGGTATAAAGTCAAAAATCCAATGGAAAATGTACAGAATGGCTGTAGCTTGACCTGCTGTACCTGTGTTTATGCATGATTAGGTTTGCTAGTAAGTCAAACGTGATCGTTCCGAAGCTCTACATCGACGCGAAAGGGTTAATGTACCGTAAATGTCACTGGAGTTATATTTCAACCGCAGCAGGGGTATAAAAGATGCCATGTTTATTTAAAAATCCAGAAAAAATTAATCGAACAGCGATACATGTGATTTTTTTCAAAAACATGTAAAAATATCAATACGAGGGGTAACGGACTATTTGGTTTATGCGACATTTTGGGCGATATTGGGTTATACCTATATATATTCGACGGAGAAAAATACGCTGATCCGAATATATACCTATAACTCAATATCGCACAAAATGTCGCTTAAACCAAATAGTCCGTTACCCCTCGAATAAAATTATTATGAAATTTATACAATATTTTGGCAAAATCGAAACACACATGGCTAATCTGTATAAATAAAAATTAATTTCCGTTCATTCGTCTCGCAAAAACTCGGGAACGGCTGAACCAATTTGACTAATGTTAGTCTTGAAATGTTGATGAAAGTCCACAATTTATAGGCGGTACGAAGATTACAGAGTCAGGTACTAAAAATGTTTATTAAAATCGTCATTAATTTTGGTTACATAATAATACGTACCTAAGTACACGGCGTAATTTTGTACTGAAAATTATTGTTTAACAATTCTCACGTCCAATCAACAATTACCGTAAACGTGCTTAACTAGGAACACCGATAAATATCGTGAAGCCACGCTAACTAGCAGATACGAACTTCATAATAACTCCGCTAAGTAATTACCTATTATGCAACACGATAAGATGGCTGACTTGCTACAATACTGCTTGCCGTTCGGATTGTTGGATGTCCGGATGTTTCAAACCGGCTCGACACTTTGGCAATGCGTAGAGATGTAGCTTCATTGTGCATTTTCTACCGCTTATACCACGGGGAGTGCTCTGAGGAATTGTTTGACCTGATACCTGCCGCATCTTTTCGCCATCGACCCTCACGACAGCATATGCATCCCCATCATATAGATGGTTGGCAGGCCACAACTGTGCGGTTCTCACGTAGCTTCCTGCCTCGCACAGCAAAACTGTGGAATGATCTGTCGTCGGCGGTATTTCCGAACCGATACGACCTTCAAACCTTCAAGAGAAGAGCGTACTCCTTTTTAAAGGGCCGGCAACGCACCTGTGACTCTTCTGGTGTTGCGGGTGTCCATGGGCGGCGCTGATCGTTTACCATCAGGTGATCCGTCTGCTCGTTTGCCTCCTATTCCATAAAAAAAAAAAAAATAAAATAAAATAACATTATCTGAATATGGTCGTAACACTTTGTGTATTATAACAATAAGTGACCGTTTCCACATGCCATCCCTATATTTTATTAAATTTTGTCGTTATTCTGTTACGCCGCATAAGGATCTCATGATTATGGGCTCCGGTTAAGCTCGAAACTAGTCGTACATATCGTAATAGAATTATTTCACAAAGCATACTTATTAAAAAAATTGTACGTACGTCTTGTGGAGCTGGGAACATCTTAAATTTTTAAAGTAAATAACATCTTTATGATATAAGTACTATCGTAGCATTGAACCGGTGACAAATCAATACCAGTGTACCTTTTTTTAATTAGAGCAAGCGCTGTACACATTATATCTATTATTTTGTAAGCCGAAAACTTAAGGCAATAACATGATATTGACTGTATTTATTACTTAATCCAATAAGTACTGTGATATAATAATGAATGACATTAATAAATCTGTTAATATATAAGTGAATTTAGTATTTAAATTGTATAATATACCTACTTATCAAAAAAAAAAACCTGTAGAATTTTATATAAGAAATAATTTTACAATGTTGTTATTTTTAATGATCTTGTAAAACACATATTATTATTAATATTACATTTGGTCGATGCATTTTCTGAGGTTTTTGTCAAATTCACCCACCTTCTGTTTCATCCAAAATTCGCTGTATTCAAGAATGTGCTTCGGGAATTTCAGTTCAACCTGTAACGAGTAATACAAAATCTATATTTAGCGACTGTCTATGTTCCTTTAAATCAATTAGGCAAGTAAGAAATAATAAGTACCTACCTAAGTAGTACTTAGATGTAAATTGAGTAAGTATTACCTGTATATAATACACTTGGTTATGAATCACCAATAAGAACAATACCGGTTTTTTTTAAGGTGGCAAAATCATCGAATTAATTCTCCGGCCTGGGTGAGGCGGAACGGAGTGTCAGACTTTTACTGACTAAAAACCACCTCGTTCCTAGTCCTGCACTTCGAGCCGGAGCCCCGATAACTCGTTAAGTTCTCCGCGGCTCCTTACCGGACCGTTTTTTTTTAAGGGGGGAAAATCATCGAATGACTACTCCCGCCTGGGTGAGGCGGGAGGGAGTGTCAGACTCTTACTGACTAAAAACCACCCCGTTCCTTCTCCTGCACGTCGAGCCGGAGCCCCGGTTATCCGTTAGGTTCTCCGCGACTCCGAATCGGCATCGGCCCTACTGGGCTCCATCTGTGGTGGTCTGATGGCTCTTTGAGGCGCGCGCGGGACGCGACTCGCCGTACGCTCGGGTCTGTTTCTGGTCGGACGGGGAGCCACCCATGCTCGCCGTCCGCAGTCCCGCGCTTACGGTGGCCGGAGATCGTCCCGCGATCCCCGACACCTGTGTGTCCTTCACGATGGCTGGGTTGCGAGGAGGCAGCGCTTCGCTGCCTCACGCGTCCCGTATCCTCCTTAGCTAGCATGACTGCTTCGCAAAAGGAGGAGACGGCATCCCAGTCCCCCTTGCTCCGCATCATGGCCTGCACTAGGCCCAGACGCGAGAGGTCGCCATCGCCAATCACTTCGCTGAGGGCACGGCGGTTCTCAGCCCACGCAGGGCATTCCGCTACAGTGTGTTCCACCGTGTCCTCAGGGCGGTCCTCGCAGTGATGACACCCGGGCGTTTCCACCCGCCCCATCAGACACAGGTACCTCCCGAAACTTCCATGTCCGGTGAGGACCTGCCTCAGGCGGTAGGTGAGGACGCCGTAGCTTCTCTTAAGCCACTCCTCAAAGAGGGGACTTACCGCTGCGATGGCAGCGAGCCCATACCGGACCGGTTTACCGGTTGAATACGGACTAATAAAATGTCCACTGCTTAAATACTATATCAAGTTATATTTGCTCACAATAGCGAACTGGTCTGGTACATAAGGAAAGATTATAGATATGTACTATGTATATACCAACTTAGAAACAAGTGTATATCTTGAAACACGAAACACCCTTGAAACATGGCTTGAAATACTATATGCATAGGTATATGTATGTGAAACTGTATCACCATAATCCTAACAAGTCTCATGCCTGTACATATTATTTATCTCTATAATATAGGATTTACAGCTATCTAGTGTCCGATTCAAAACGCGCAATATCTCCTGTTTGTTTGAAAACCCTACAGCTGCTCTCTGAAGGATCGAAAGTCTCTAGAAGGGACAAATACCTGATAGGCTGGTACGGCTTATCCAACGTCGTTCGTATCCATCGTCAACTTCTTTATATTTTACCTACAGGGTCAATAGCCTTTAGATGACATTTGAGCCGTTGGGCCTTGTCCATCGATAGTCAATCGTGCATCAAAACATCAAATATTACTTATGTCAAAACTTGTTTGATTGTCCAATGATGTCATCAGTTCATTTCCGTACAAGGAAATGTGATCGACGAAAACCCAGTGCTATACGTAGTGGTTGTAATTTAGTATGTAGCTTTTCGTATAAAGTCAGAATTTACTAAATGCAATGAATATCATATGATCTTAAGGATAAGATCCATTTTAAGAATTTGCAGTTGGCATCATCTTTTTTATTTATTTTCTTTTGTTTGACGTAAGTTGTCTGTGTGACGTCATAGCGTATGCCCTGAGTTGCTTGTGTCGAATACAGAATATAACCGACATCATTGGGAATTCCATTGAATTAGCATTTTTTATTCACCTTTACGTATTTGTATACATGGGAACAAAAACACAGAATGCACCTAGTAAGAGGACCTTTCCTAGCTCACCCTCGTAGTTTGTGAAAGGAAAAAGAGTTCGCACTTAGGTAATTATATTTTTTAGAAAAATAGGTAGGTATTGCATGCGTTATATGTGTATCTACACAGCTATGTACTTGGATTATTGGATTTATGTATAAATACACACAGTACAGTCACTTAGCCGGTGCCAGTGTTTCTATGCGTTAATACAATTCATGTGAATTTTTTTCAACAACAGTTTTTGCGACTCAACCTAAGTATTAGCCATGCTAACAACACTGCATTGTTTCGAAGTAATTATGTAAATTACCTTGTTTAATTGAACGTATATAAACTTTAGGCAGTAATTTTTCCTTTTATAGAAAGGTATCTGTTTACATACACGACTAACCTGAAAATGTCCTGTCCACCCAGACAAGCCGCTTTAGGTGAATTCAATCAATACCTACATAATATCACTCACTTAGTATATGTCTATAAATAACGTTTTTATTTTTGTGAGTAAACCTCGAACTTTAGAACCGGCTTGATTGCTAATGCTGCCGCTCCGCATACTATCCATTCCTGTTCACTTAAGTAAGTGCAACGTCATTGACTCATTTCGTCTGCAAATTATAAGTAGGTATCTACCTATTAATAGCAACTGAGTGTGAATATTCGCAAGACTACCTATGTGTTTTAGAATAGATAGTATTAACTCGTCGAGTACCGGTTTTGTAGACACAATTATAGAACAATAGGTTGCGGTCACCGGTGACCGCTTGGTGTTTGACAGTTTAATAGAATAGTCGTTATCAGTCGTTGCTGTAAAATCTACGCTTGGCGGATGCTTTGAATATCGCAAACTTCGTTTCGACATAGATCGAAAATCTGTCCAGGGTATTTAAGTACCTAGGTACTTAATAACTTGTGCAAGGTGAGTAGGTATTTAAATATATCAGGACAATAATAATCAGCTTGCAAGACCTGAACTAAAAGCAATGTGGCTTGATTTTTTCTTATAACTCTCTGTAACACCTTTGAGAGGGGAAAATCATCCAATGACTTCTCGCGCCCGGTTGAGGCGGGAGGGAGTGTCAGACTCTTACTGACTAAAAACCACCCCGTTTCTACTCCAGCACTTCGAGCCGGAGCCCCTGTAACCCCGTTAAGTGTTCCGCGGCTCCGTATTGGCATCTACCCTATCGGGCCCTGTGCATCTGTGGTGGTTTGATGGATCTTTAGAGGCGCGCGCGGCACGCGACGGACCGTACGCTCGGGTCTGGTTCTGGTATGACAGCGAGTTACCCGTGCTCGCCATTGGCAGCCCGTGTATATACGGTGGCTGGAAATCGTCCTGCGGTACTGTTCTAGGTGTTCGTTGCACGAACTTACCTAACTGAACTATACATACGAACGAAGGCACTTATAATTACTTATTGCATTCTAAACATATTGTGTTTGAGGCGCTACATACCAACCTACGCAGATATTTACTATGTAACAATATAATTATATCCACTTATTGTGACAATGACAAAAAACGTCCATGTCCTCATAGAGCTGCAATCTTATTATTCTATTGGTCGGTACGTCTATCTCTAAGTGCAACTTTAAACAACGCATAGTGCTTATTAATTCAGTAACTACTTACTTAGCTGTAGTTAAGTGCCTACCAAAAAAGAAAACTGGACAAAAGTGTCAAAAGTGAGTTGAACTCACCCACCCACCTAGTCACTTAACTTTAAATACCGTACAGGGCAATTAACTCGTCGAGCTTGGTGTTCGACAGTTTAATGTAATATGACATTTTTTTAAATAGACTTTCTACTCTATCGCGCATAAAGGTTTTGCTAGAGTCGAAAATACAATGACAAAAAATGATATTTCACCTATTGGATAGATTGATGTGCTGGCCAGTTGGCCACTGTACCTGGCGCTACCTGCCAACCTACTTACATTCTTCGTCATGAATTTATTTCTTAACAATTCATACAAATATGAAAATCTTACGAAGTACAATACTTCAGCTACCAACTCACCTTTGGTATAGGATAAGGCGTAGGTCTCACGCAGGCTTGTCGAACCAGAATATCGGCCATTTTAGACATGACACAGATATCTTTTTCCCAGCAACCTTCCTGAATCTGGCCGGTCAGCATGTGGTAGAATCGTCCATAACCATTCTTAAGATCGTTTTCGAAGTGTCCTTCGTATCTGTTCCCGTCAGCTGCGTTTAACCAAAATTGTTAGTTCAAGGTTGAAAAAAAGTAGGTAGTTTTGTAGGTGCCTACCTACTTAAAGTAACGTACACAAACAGCGTGCGTGTACAAACACTAGTCAGAAGCTGTAAAGGCCGCTACATCAAGCTACACCAATCTCAAAATCCTTCAATAGATTTTCAACTTTGTCACAAAGTCATAAGGTTGAAAATCCATGGGATAGCTTGATGTGCTGTCGTTACTACCTACTTACCTAGTTCTTATCGTGGGAACTGTTGCTGATATAAACAAAAGAAGGTGACTTCAAACTGGTTGCGATTGTAACGTTGTTACAGCCGATACCGACACATCTGTAGGTCGCATGTGGTCGGACTTCCGGCGTTTATAAGACTTCTCGTGCGGTTGATAAGATGTGGTTTCGTGAGATATTTCTTTGTACCTACGTTGATATATTGGGTGCCAACTTGCGAAGTTTGTTTTTGTATTAGCTAAATCATTACAT